CACTCTGTCATACTGTATGTACGGATGCATTTCTTGTTTTCTTGTCTGATCTTGGATGTTTTCCTGACTCGCATTAGCAGACAGGTGCACTTGTATACCTGCAGGCGTTTTGACACCTCACACCAAGGTGGTCCGCTTTCACTTCACATCAAGGCCACAAACCGTATTCATTTGGACACTTATCCAGAGGTGGGAGTTGCACTATTAAAACGTGTACTTCAAGCTGTTCTTTGGGGCTTCGTCCTGCCAGCTCGAAATGGAAAGACCCCCCTTTGATGCACTGCAATTTCATTCCAGGCCCCCTCTGGGGATTTGGATGAACGCTCTCTGAAGGTTAAAGTTTTGGCTGCATTACATACTAGATGATTTACCTTTACCATCTGATGTCTGCGGCTCTCCGCTCTCCACTGGCTGTCACTCCCCGTTAATGCTGCTTCACTGGATGGCTGGCCATTGTCCTCAGGCGGCAGTGCTGCTGGCAGCTGCGCTCAGATGGAAGAGAGGACCAACATATCGCCGTTAGGGCCACTGTGAAGGCTTGCAATTGGTTCAAAAGGAAACAAAAGAATATATCCAACAGCATAACATACAGGCGGAATGTGTATTGTAAGAGAAAACATAAATGAGGTAAAAAGACGGATAAATGCATGCATAGACAGAATGAAACAATAAAATAGTAACAGACAACATACAAGAAGGAGAATTAACACTAAATCATCATTGCATATGATACACCAAAACCAAAGACCCAAAGACAAAGAGCTGTGTTTTTCCAACAAGTGGGAGGAAGGGTGAAGTGTGATCATAGTGATGCATATTTACCCTTTTCAGAGTTTTATTTAATGTAGTGCACATAAAACTGGATATTTTAAACTGTAATAAAGTTAAAAAAAAATACAAAAATAAATAAATAAATAAATAAACAAAATAAAATAAACAACCAAATGAAATCAAATATAGAAAAATAATGACAAATGACTTAAAGAAATAATGTTTGCAACCAAATGAAATAAAATAAACAAAAGTGAAATAAAATAAACAAGCAAATGAAATTAAATAAACAAAAATGCATTAAAATAAACAAAAATCTAATAAAAGATGGACATGTGAAGCAGCAAACCACCTACTATAATCCCTCGTACATTGAAAACCTAATTGGTAATATAATGGATATGACTGCCAACAATAAATAGAAAATAAAATGAAAAAACAAAATAAACAACACTAAAATAAAGTAAATAAAAACAATAACAAATAAAACTGAAATAAAATAAACAGCCAAATGTCACCAAAATAACAAAAAGAAAATAAACAACACTATAATAAAGCAAACAACTAAATGAAATAAAATAAAGTAATAAACAAGACTTAAATAAAACAAAAAACCAAAAGAAATACAATAAACAACCAACTGAAATAAAATAAGCAAAAATAAAATAAAATAAACAAAAATGACATGAACAATCAACTATAATTAAATACACAAACATAAAATAAAACAAGCAAAAATGAAATAAAATAAACAAAAATGAATTGAAATAAAGAGCCAAATAAAATACAAGAAAATAAATAAAAATAAAATAAACAACTACATAAACCATTGTTTACTATTTGCCGAGCTCTGGGGTATATTTTTCCATCTGACCTGTGTGAACTCATCATCTCGTGGACCACAGGGTGTGTCGAAGTTGGTCTTTGGTGCCCCCAAGTGTCTACAGAGAAAAGTGCATGAGAAAGACTCAAACTTATTAGCTGTTTGTACTCACCTGTTGTATACACCACAGTGCTGGTTAAATTAGTGTCATTCAGTATCTACTGTCTCAGCTTTTATAGCATTATAAGATATTTACTGAAGGCTTTTGTGTGTATTTTGTCCAACATGAACTTTGTATGAACCTCAGCATAATAAATTGAACTTGAACACTGGTCAGACTGGGCAAAAGTTGGGTTATGTTTAGTCAACATATTGCCACAATAAAAAAAATAAAAAGAAGAAGAAGAAAAAAGGGAATTTTCCAAAAAATAATAATATACAGGGTCTAAGATTTATCTTAGTTGGATCAATTTTCTGAATTAATAATACCGAAGGATATAATCTTTACATTTTAATGTGTCAGTAAATTTGTATAATAAAGTGTAGTGTAGGGTCTAAAATGTATTATTTTATTAGTCAGGCACATTTGCATAATTCATAATAGTGTAGGGTCTGAACATTAACATTTAAGGAAGTTAATTTAAATTGTGTTTTCTATGTTCTTGCAGGGTCTTAACCTTAGTTTTTAAGTTAGTCAGGCAAATTTGCAAGTATTAACAATTCTGTAGAGTTCAAACCTTGGGATTTAATTTAGTTAGGTACATTTTGTGTTTTAAAACTTTACTTGTGTCAGGTTTTAACCTTAATATTTAAAGTACACAAGTGAATTCGCCTACAAAATAATACCGAAGGGTCCTACTAAGCTTGTAAGACACATTAGTTAAGAGAGATAGAGTCGTTCATCTGATTTCTCCACTGGAAACCACTTTAACTCAACAGCTTTGGTTTAAATAAATAAAGTTAACTTCACTTAACTCAGATTCTTTACTCCTTGGCACACCCTCAGCATTTCAATAAAGCTGCAAGTCGAAATAATAACTGTTTGGTAATTAAAAACTCCGTTTAATTTTTTACTATACATTGATCTTAGGTAAGTTTGCGGGCCCTGAATGCACCTGCGTGGTCACATGACAAGACAACCGCCTGAAGCTAACCGTGGGAGACGACAGAAGACGTTTTTTAAAGACGCTAACATGGATAGAGGCGATTACTTCACTGCTACAATTTGCAGGTTATGTGGGGAGTCCTTCAAGCTTCCTGGTACGTTATTTAAACCCACTTTCTTTCACTTTAACTCCCCGTTGTACCGTAATTTGTGATAAACGAAGTTGCCGTCACCGCATGCGAGTTAGCTAGCTGCAGCAGTAGCTAGCTTGATTAGCTAATGAGCTACTACAACACGTGTGTCGGCAGGTGCTTGAACGTTCAAAGTGTTAATATAATAAAGCTGTTGTGATGATCAAAACGTGTCCAATACAAATACATATTTCTTTTTTATTTTATTTATCTCGTTTTTAAGTCTTTGTAGCATGTTGTGTGTCCTGTGGTGTTGTAGACCAAACAACCCAAATAAATCCAAAATGTCGCGCCTAAGCGATGACAGTAAATGTTTGGTTGATATATACTTCTAATACTTTGCTCCAAGTCACCATAGTGTTATTACAACAAATGTTTAATTATTTATTCAGAAAGTAGCGCAGTTTAATAGTTCTGGTGCACATTGTTCTTTGGGGGTTTTGTTTTGTTTTGTTTTTTGTTTTTTGTTTTTTTTTTTTTTGCCATTATAGCCCATTCACAAATTTAAGAAGCGGAATAAGAGAATTTTGCCCGATTTGTTTTAACCACCTAATTGATCAGAATAGTTGATGACTAATCGATTAATGAGCTCATTGAAAAGCTTAATTAGCATGTTAAACAACGTTTGGAAACCCAGAGTATGTGAAATTGACATCTTGAAACCTGTAAATCCACAGATTACTCTGTGACTAAAGGTGAAGGATTATTTTCATTATCCATTCTGGTGTTGCATTATTTTTGTCTTTTCAGAAGAAAACGATCCTGAGAGCAACCTCCCTCGCATGCTTTTATGTGGCCACATCTACTGCACAGGTTGCCTGGGGTCCATTCAGTGTGACAATGTGATTAGATGTCCCGAATGTGAGGTACAACTTAAGTATTAACCAAAGCAAATTTAACAAGTTCCAACTCAGTTGGTTATTTCCTGTTTCTTATAATATGGGAACCAATGTGTCACGCAAAGCTAAATTGTTAATTTTGGCATGCACTCTTCATAATCCAGAGACATTATGTATATCCTGGCTATTTTGTTTGTTTGTAAATCACTAAGAGTGGCTGGCAATTTGAGATCAAAATGTTTCATGGCTGAAAATGTTTTATTGGTGGGATGACAATGACAAAACAAAGCTCCCTCCATACAGGTTGAGTCCACACTTCCTAAAGAGGGAGTGAGTGGTCTGCAGGAAGATAGCAGAATCATAGGGCTCATCTACACTGCAAAAATGAACAAGGCTAAAAGGTAAAATGCAGTCCTGAATGTTGATCTGAACCACCACTGACAGGTCTTTTAAACACTTTTTTCCTTCCCCTGGTGTAATAACAATGTATAATACATTTTAAAGAATGAGTTTGATAACCTTTGACAATTACTTTGGTGTTTCTATTTTCTTGAGCCTTCGCTGTGACAGATCAAAGCATCGCAGAAAGAGCAAATTATCAACAGCCCCAGACTTTAACGCCAATACTGAGACTATTAAGCAGGTATGTTTGGGTTGCTGGTTGGATATGAAAGTCATTGTGTCAGACCTCACAATGTTGAACCTGCTTTGTCCAAATAAATTTTATAGTTTGCACTATGAATATTACACAACACACCTTGCCAGTGCCCCTATTCCTTATGACGTGAAAGTTTATCCTAGCTTGCTATATGAAATGGCATTAAGGCACAGAAGGGCAATTGTCTTTGTGAACTGGTACGTATGAAAACTGAAGTTTAAATTCAGAGAGAAAAGAGCAAATTACTGCTATTCTCGCAGGAGTGAGATGTTGCCCAAATGTGCAACTTTTAATAAATAGTTTGAATTCAGTAAAGAGGTAGATGATGAGATGGATCAGTGCCGTGACTGAAGCACTGTGCAAGTCTTTATTTATTGTTATATGCTTTCAGCACTGACCAGGAAATAAAATTACAGACACACCTGGCTAATTCTTGACTGTTGGTAAAGAATCAAGAGTTCAGAGAAGACAAATGCTTCATTAATCATTATAATTAATAATGATTCCAAAGATGGAGACAGGACCAATCTGGGGCAGGATCTAATTGTCAATGACACTGTGTCGTGTTTGTATAGACTATATTGGGGCCTTAGCTTGAACGCAGTTATTCAGAATGTTGGGTGTAGAGCCAGTGTGTTGCAGTGTCTAAATGGAAAAATAATATTTTGAACTACACTTTTTGGTATTGTTGTCTTAGACAGCTGATATTGAGAAGATTGAAAAGTTGGTGGATGAGGCGTTGGCTCGGGCTGCAGAGAATCTTGCCCAGCTGGAACACATCTATGAGGTGAAAATTGCACTAGCTCTGAAAAGCTGCACACACCTTGTAGAATACGATTGTGAAAATAGTGTATTTCCTAAAGAAGATTTAAAAAAAAAAAAAAAAGGTTTTACACATCAGAAGAAGAGTAAATCAAAACCACAAACTTCTGGTCTGTAGGTGTGTTGCTGGAGTGTTCAATGAGTGTTTTTCATTTGGGCAGACTCTGACATCTGGTGACGAAGAACAGGTGAAGAGAGAGAGAGCTCGACTGGAGAGGGAAATCAAGCAAGCTGCAGACAAGGCTTTAAATACTATTCAGAAGTGGTATGGATAGTAACTGTGAAGACACAATATGTGGAACTGATAATTTCTTTCTCAACAGATTGTTTTATTTAGTTGCAAATCATAGAGGTGCTAATATTGGTCTAGCTCAAAGGTTTTCTGCACGTCAGTAAAGCAACATCTGTCTTGATGCCTGTAATTTCTTTGTCTACAGGAAGGATGTGCAGTTGAGTCAGCTGGTAGACCTGCAGTTACAAGTCTCCACCAGTCAAGCTGTGGGGTGCCTTGTCCAAGAGAGGATAAAAGCTTTGGAGATTGCAATGCAGGTGGCCCGAGAAGTACGCCGCAGCCCCTTCCTGGAGTTGTACTGCTCTCTGGATAAGGTATGAAATATTATACTTGCATACAGGACATCCCAACAGATACTGCTTCTCACATCCCACCATCTGGTACTGTAAACTATTTCCAAGAAACACAGGTAAACACTGGCAACTGTGTGGTTTGTTTGTTTGTTTGTTTTGGTTTTGTGTTGTTGTTTTTTTTTTACATTTTCTAACGTATCTGATTGAAAGTACCAGTATCAGGTTTTGGTTGTTTCTCTCTCTGTGCCTTCACCGCGTTCCAAATTATTATGCAATTATTATGCAAATCGGCCCCTTTAGGGTCCCTGAAAATGACCTCTGAAAAGTATGTGGAGTTTCTGACTGTCCACTTTCTTCCATGGTACAAAAAGAAGAACCAGGCTTTTTGTTACAAAATTATCTTCATGCATGACAATGCACCATCTCATGCTGCAAGGGATACCTCTGCATCGTTGGCTGCTATGGGCATAAAAGGAGAGAAACTCATGGTGTGGCCCCTTCTTCCCTGACCTGAACCCTATTGAGAACCTTTGGAGCATCCTCAAGAAAAAGATAAATGAGGGTGGGAGGCAGTTCACATCCAAACAGAAGCTCTGGGAGGCTATTCTGACATCCTGCAACGAAATTCAAGCAGAAACTCTCCCAAAACCACAAGTTCAATGGATGCAAGAATTGTGAGGCTGCTATCAAATAAGGGGTCCTATGTTAAAGTGGAACTTGACCTGTTCAGATGTTTTTGACTGAAATAGCTTTTGATTTCAGTAAATATAACCTCCTAATGCTACAAATTCAACAAATGACCATTTTCAGTTCTGTACAATCTCTAAAATGTTTTGGAACTCTATTGTGCCTAATAATTTGGAATGGTGGAGTTCAAGTTTTTTATTTTTGAAAATAATACTGCTATCATTGGGAGGTTTGTTCAGTAACATTCAAATTATACTCTAACGGTTGATGACTTGAAAATTATGCTGACTGTC